AGAGGTGCTGTCTTCCCATTTCAAAGAGATACTTCCAAGACATTTGCCCATATTAAAATAAGGTAATTTGTTTGTTTGAGGTTTTTAGCTATGAAGTTGAAGAAGTTTCTTTTTTATTTTTGAATAGTTGTTTCTCTAAGGTAGACATACAAATGGCCGGCAGGCATATCAAAAAGGGCTCAACTTCACTAATCAACAGGGAAATGCAAATCAAAATCACAATAAAATAGGATGGCTAATATTATTTTTTAAAAAGAGGAGAGTTGACAAGGATGTGGAGCAATTAGAACTCCTGTATATTGTTGAAGGGAAAATAAAAGGGTGCCATTGCTACAAGAAATAGTATGAAGATCCCTCAAAAATTAAAAGTAAAACTACTAAAGAATCCAACCATCCCTTTTCTGGGAATTTATCCAAAAAAATTAAAGTCAAGATCTTAAACAGATATTAGTACTTGTATGTTCATTGCAGATTTGTCACAATGATCAACTGTGGAAACAGTCTACACATCAATAGAAAAATGAATGAATAAAATATGTGACATATATAAAATGAAATATTATTTGGCTTTAAAAAGGAGGGAAATCCCATGATATGTGATCCATAGATGAACCCTGTGAACATCAAGCTGAGTGAAATAAGACACAGAACAACAGATACTGTTTGATACCACCTGTATGAGCTGTATAAAATACTCAAACACATAGAAACAGAGTAGCATGGTGCTCCCCAGTAGCTGGGGTGTAGTGATGGTCAGGAGTTGCTATTCAACTGACATTAAATTTCAATTATGCAGGATGATTACAGTCTGGTCATCTATTACTCAACATTGTCTACAATTAACAACAATACATTATATATTTAAAATTTCATTAAGAGGGTAGATATCATGTTAAATGTTTTTACCACAGTAAAAACAGAAAGAGTTTGATATTCCTGGGTTGTAAAAAAGAGGAACAAGACTGTTTAGCCTTTGAAAAGATTTGCATACATTTCAAAGACACAGAGAAAGAATTTATGAGTATTCAGAAGAAGCTGTTCCAAGAAAAAGAGGGGTAGGTATCTTTCTATTTTTGCATCAGGAAAAAAAATATTTTTAATTTTTATTTTATTTCTTATTTTTAATTTTTTACACCTCTGTGTATTCTCTTATTTCTTCCTCAGCTTTACCTGTATCTCCTGGCTTGCTTCTCAGTAGGCTGCAGAAGGCAGAAGGGTAATCTCTATATACATTGCATGGTGCCCATTTTCTAAATGTAGTTTAAATGGATCACCAACACGATGTCCAAGGCTGTCGAGCCACAGAACTTCAGGTGTCAACATGGAATGCAATGCATGCATTGCTCCTGGAGATGTACAGAGCAAGCGCCCTGGCTCCATCCTTCCTACCTTACACAGCCTTTCTGGAAAAAAGAGCCTCTAGTTCTTTCAGAGATACTATCTTTCAGATAGCAGTTTCAGAGATATTATCCTGTGTAAATCTTATCATCATACAGAGAGTTACAAGTATTTGTATTTGAAAAGATTCAGAAAAGGAAAATGACTTGGCAAGATCGTGCAACCAGTTAGTAGTCAAGTCAGAACTGAACTCAAAGCTCCTGACTCCCATGTGAGTGCTCTTTCCATCCAAGCACAGGGCCTTGATTGTGCAGGCTATTCCTGGGATCAGAGCAAGCCTCTCTACCTGTACTTGGATCTGAATTTTATTAACTGTGTGCCCTGGCTGTGCCCTAAGAGCTGAGAGCAATGTCCTCACTACCTTTATCACCACTGGATCTTGACTTGTAAACTGTCAAGAAGAGTGTCACACAGGTTGAGCAGAAATAGCCACAGGATACTTTGAACTTATAGTGTAGGGAATAATATGACAAGAAAATCAACATTTACTATTCATTAAATCCCATGGGACACAGAGTTCACTTCCAGGAAGATGGCTTTTCTAGGCGAGTCTGGGCACCTGAGTAAAGCCTGAGCTGGGGAGAAGTAGAAAAGGAAACAGAAAATTGATGTTTCTGACAGAGAGGAAGAGAATATCTAAGGCAGAAAGGAAGAGAATTTCTCAGGCTCTTCAGAAGCTATACCCCTTGTGCCTACTGGGGAAGAATTCAAAATCAAGAATAAGAAAGATGATTAGAAATCAGATTTTTGAAACAAAATCTTGTATTTTAATTGTTTTTATTTAGTCTGAGAAAATATGAAGTCACTGGAAATTTTACAAAGGAAGTCAATGATTAGATTTGTCTTGGAAATATCATTCTGGCAGAGATGAACTGAGTAGGGAGCCATGAAGTAAGGAAAACAACTTCAGAACCTACCACAGATCCTTGAGGAGAATGTGATGATTAGAAGTAAGGTAGGAGCACTGAGGCAGGAGGAAGGAAGAGGGGACTCTGAGATATTTGAAACAGAAAATGGCTGTCTTAATCTGTGCTGCTGTAACAAATTCTTGAGACCAAGTTGTTCATTCATCCATTCATTCATTCTGGTGCTGGGAATTGAACCCAGGACCTCACAAATTCTAGGCAAAGACTCTACTCCCAAGCTACATCCCCAGCCCCCAAACTGGATAATTTATAAAAAATTTATAAATAATTTCTCCTGGTTCTGGAAGCTGGGATATCCAAGATCAAGGCACCAGCAGGCTGGTGTCTGTAAAAATCTCTTGCATAGCTCCTCACAGAGCTGAAGGAACAGAAGAATAAAAGGGTCCTAAACTGGTTTCCTCCAGTCCTGTATAAGACTAATTCATTGATGGGGGTAGAAGCCTCAAGACTTAATCACTTCCCAAAGGGTCCCATCTCTCAATACCACCACAATGGGAGACTAACTTTCAACATGAATTTTGGAAGGGACACATGCACACCATAGCAATGGCCAAACCTAAGGTCAAATAAACTTGTGTTTAGGTAGGAAGAAAGGATGAGGGAAAGAAAAAACAAAATACGTTGACTTCATCTCAGATGACTAAGTGGATATTAATGTCCTTTTATCAGGAACACAATACAGCAGAAATAACAAGTTGGGAGGCAAATATTTTTAGTATAATTTCCAAAAAGGTATTCAGAGATTTTATTCAATTATTTCATTAATAAGGGTATCAATAAAGTATTTGAGCTGATTCAAAGTGTATTTGATAAGCTACTTTGTATATAAAGACAACCTAATAAAATGCCAGGTTAGATATATAACTGTTTAATATTCAATAACATTGTAAATTACAATCTCTAGCATATTGATGGCTCTGGACAAAAATTATTTGTATTTCTACCCAACATAAATCTGTAATATAAGCTCCGACCCTACAGAGTTGTAAAATAACCCCATAAATAGAAAGTCAAGACTAACACTGTCCTGATACACTTTTTTTTTTTTTTGCTATTGTCAAGTTTAAAACAACTTGATGCACTCGGATTTAGACACAGTAAACCTTAAACCTGAAGTACTTCTAAAATAATACAACAGAGAAGTCCACTTGGCAACTAGATAAATGCATTTAAGGATAGAGATTTCTTTAATTCAAGGCTTAATTATAATAAGTGATGACCTAAGAAAAAATATTTCATACAGGAAAAGTACGAGAGTCAGACACTGAAGCCAAAAAGAAACCTTAGAATATTTATGGATCAATCAAGAAAAAACAAAAGGAGCATCCAAATTGATCAGAAACATAAAGTTGCAAGTAGAAATTTGGTCCAAGAAGGACGGTATAGTCTTCAGTAATGTGTCATAAGACATCCAGTAAGGAAGGAGAATGCAAAGATACCAATGCATTTACAACTTGATAGTGACTTGCAACCTTGATGAGAGTATTTTTATTTGTGTGGCAGGGCTTTAAAATATTGATGTGAAAAGCAAATAGGAAATGATGAAAAGAAAGTAGATACAGGGCTCAAGAGACTCCAGGGAATGTTTGCTGCTGCTGTTCTGAGAGAGGAAATGTTTATCACATATATTTGCTGAAGGGAAAGAATCAATAGAATGTCTTGACCAAGGCTTAGAACGGAAGGGGAGAACAAAAGGTGGAGGTCACTGGGAACTGGGATGAATTGAGATCTGAAGCACTCTTAGGGTTTAATTATGAAATGGTAGTACAGATCTTTGAGATTAGAGAAAAAGAAAAATGATAGGTGTGAGCACCATTATATTGGTCATCCAGAGAGGAAGTCAAAGAACTTTCTACCTATTGGTTTATCTTTTCCCCACGGGAGCATGACTGAAGAGTGTGAGGCAGGAGATTGGAGAAGGGTAGTAAATATTTGAGAATGTCACATGGAGAAATGGCAAGAGAAATATTTATTAATAGAAACATATAACCAGGCATGATGATGCATACCAGCTATGCAGGAGGATGAGCCAGAGGATTGCAAGTTCAAGGCCAGCCTGGGCAACTTAGTAAGACCACATCTCAAAATAAAATACATTTTAAAAAGGCTGAGATCGTAGCACAGTGATAGAGTGCTTGCCAAGCACGTGCAAGGCCTTGAGTTCAATCCCCAGCAAAAGAAAGAAAGAAAGGAGGGAGGGAGGGAGGGAAGATGTATAAGTGAATAATGTTAGGTTCAGCTCATGATGTAAAATGTAAATTGAAGATAGTTTTGTGATTTTGTCCATCAGTGCTCAGCAATCCAAAATAGATGATAAAATATAAGAATAAAAGTATAAACATACACTTAAATATAATCATTTAAATGCAGCATAAAACAAAAGAATAAACATATGCTTTTATAAGCATAAAATAATATACTTTCAAGTACAAACATATACTTTTATAAGTATTACAGAATAAGGGGTTGATTCTTCCAGAAATGTCATTTCATGTGAGAAGAGCAGAAACCCTAAGTCTCATAATCTTTTGCTGTGGCTACTGCTTCTAATAACCTTAAATATTACTTATGATGTTGAGAAATATTTCCTCAGGTGCGGCATGAAAATACCTACCAGCCTCAGTACACTCAGTCGTCTCACAGATGACCATGTGTTTCTTTTCAATCTCACTACAGGCTTTCTCCACCACCACAGCAGCACATGCTCCGACAGCAGTAGCTTCTCAGAAGAGCCTAACTCCCACCTCTTCTTGCCCTCTACATCCATGCCCTCAACATTCAGCCGCTGCTCCCTGGCACTCCAAACCCCTGAATTCAGCAGGGGAAAGACAAGCTGGAGCACGAGAAAGGAGACCACACTGAGAGATCGGGACTCTGCATCCTGATGCTGTGGCAAACTTCATGCTCAGAGAAGAACCCCAGGCACATAACTTCATTGTTCTGCACGTTGGTTTTTCTACTTGATAGGTTTTAGCTACATGACATGGACAGTGATAAACTGGACAAAGACATAATTTTCTCCCAAACTCTGACATTGCTGAAGGCAGAAGATTTAAGGATGACTAAGTTTGGGGCATAAGGTTTGCTAGTGAAATGTTCTCAAAGGGTTCAAGCTAAGAGAAGAAGGAGAAATCCCACCTTCTGGTTTTAAAACCTTGGTACAAAGCACAGTGGAATTCCCTGTGGACTTCACTTATCCCTATGTGCTCCTAATTAACTTCCATAAAATTTTCCACAACCCCAGAGTCCTATTTTTCTTCATGAGGACTTATCAGATGAGATCTATGTGGCACCTCCCCCTTGAATCCAGCTCCTCCCTCTATCTAAAATTTTGTATCTTCCTAGGAAAACAGAGGAGTTGGATTCTGGGTTCTTACTCTTGGCCATTGCAAAAAAAAAAAAAATCGCAAATTTTCTGCTGGCAGAAAACAATCCGAATAAAAATATTCTTAATTGTGTTTTTTAAAGGTAGACTGTCGTGAGTTGTTTTGGAGGGAATATGTTTCAGCCACAAAAAGATTGAGCACAGACAGGGTTGTGCCAGGTAGTGTGTGGTATAGAGCACTTTGAACACATTCTTCTTCCAAGAATATTCTAGTAGAATGGAGTGGCAAGACACATGTTTTCAGTAACATTTTACTTCATTGCTCAATAAGTTGCAAGAAAGCAAAGTGCAGAAAAGAATTTGAGGGAATTTGAAGGAAATCATAACCATGAGAGCTAAAGTTTAAAAAATCACAGACATGAATGAGCAGAAGATTTATTTTATTCTAAGACCACCGCCATCAATAGTGGGGAGAGCACAGACTAAGTCTGAATACCTGGTGATGAGAGAAAAATTCTGAGATGTCCTAAATTTAATTATAAGGGGGAGGATGGAAGAGGGAAGGGGAAAGGGAGCTAATTAGTTAACCTTAGTCCAAACAACAACAACAAAAAACAGTCCACATTTCAAAGGATGTTAAAATCTTTACTCAGAACCCCAGGTAACCATCCCCTTGGCAAAATAGCATCCTGCTTACAGCCATTCTCAATCAGTCAATCAGAAAGCAACAACTAATGGACTATCCTCCTACCCCAAAACTCGACCTGTTTCATGTTATCAGGCCTCTTTTCTTTATAGCCAATGAAGTTTCGATGTAAACAACCCATACTTTCCTTCCCCAATTTTTCCTTAAAAAAATCCTCTTAAGTAGCCTGTTGTTTATTACAGAACTCATTCTTTTCTGGTCCTTTTCTGGCTAGCATCTGTCACAGTTCAATCAACACTTCTAGTTTAGAGATTCCCTAAATTTTGGTTTAATTCTATGTAGCTAGACACAGCACTTAAAGGGCTGGAGAATTTTTAAGTGCTGAACTAAGGGTAATTTTAGACCATATGTGTTTACTAATTGACCTTACTTATTCAAAGGAAAAATAAACTTTCTTCTAGCTTCATGAGAGAAGATAGTTCTACAGCTCAGAGGGATACTCCATCAAGCTCCCACTCAAGGCTCCTACCGAATCTGGGAGATTGGGGCTCTATCTTCCTTGATGCTTACCTTTCAAATAGAAGGTTCTAGGGTCCTAGAAAAAGACATTTGGTGTTGTCAAGCTGAAAAGAGGCTAGGATATTTGCAACTCAAAAGGACAGAGAAAGGACTTAGCAATACGTTTTCCAAAGTAAATACTCAAAGAGAGGTCAAGAGCCTAGAATCCAGAAGGAAATCTCTTTCCTCTAGTGGCAAGATTAAGTGAAAACTCTAAGGTTAAAAAAAAAAAAAAACTCTAAGGTTGTCTTGGTCACAAACGAAAATAGAAGGATCGGAGATTATTTCATATAAAGAAGACAGGAGAATAATAGCCTATGTGATCCCATCTTGTTGAGCAAAAGGTTTGGGGCAGTGGAGTGAGGTGATCCCTACTTCCAGTTTCCATCCAGAATCTACCCACTAGATACAGGATACACACTAGATACTAGATACCCACTAGGCACGTAGGGAGATGTCTTTCTGGGCTATGGGAGGGCCTTCTGGAGGCAGAGTATTGTTACCAGGCTGACTGCCACTCAAAATGAGCAAAATTCAAGAAACAGGAATTGTTGGAAGTTTTGGCTGACCCTGAAGGAGACAGAGGGGCTCACTTCAAAGCTTTACCCTAGGGAGTCTCAGGGGCATGACAGGATTTTATAGGGAAGAGAAATAAGACAGGCTGCAGGCTGGGCTAGTCCTTCATCAGTTAGGGTGGGTGTCTTCTCCAGAACATTTCAACTGATTTCAATTTCCTGGGCCCAGCTCTAGCATTTTCTTTTCAAACCGACATATAACTGCTCTGCAACTCAATTCATATGGTTGTGTAAATTGGTGACACAGTAACTGCTGTTTGCATAGAACCATCCAAGTGAGGCTTCTCTTCGACTAAAGAACAACTTCAAGGGAGCCTCTGTTTATAATATGGCCAGGATAATTTACTCTGTTCCCTAGAAGTTTCCTTAGTCCCCAGTCTACACAATCCATGAGATGTAAATGATGAATCCTTACAGGCAATACAAAGGAGGGGAAAAAAAAACAAACAATGTGTCTTGCCCTCCCCCCCACTACCCTTCCTACTACCAAGCAGATTCTGGAGAATTGAGGTGATCAGAATGCTTGGCAGAAGGCTCTGTTGATAGACTGAGAAACAAAGACTTCCCTGCTTCTCTGTTGCCACATCTCTCTGGGATCCTCCTTGCCCCTTTGGTGACCAAGGATGACCAGCCTTCCCTGTCAGCCTCCTCAGCCCTCAGGTAATGGGACATAGGAGTCAGAGAACTTGAGGGCTTATGGTCCCCAGGCCAATTGCAGTTCCCACCTTTCTCCAATGTCAGAGCTCATGAAAAGAGCTGTGTGGCAAAAAGGAGCTGAGTTGATGGAAGAGCGACTAGATTGGTCAGGTAGGATGGGTTAGACTCCTGGAGAGTCATCAGCTATGTAAGTGGAGTAAAGCCTTGGCAGGCTCCATAATGCTTCCAGTTCCAAACTGTGTGTTTGTAAACAAGCCCTCTGCTCCTTCAGTGCAACCATGTTGCCACACTCTTATGAACCTCATAGGGCATGTAACAAGGACTTAGAGGCTACTTTTGCTAAACATATTGACTTTTCTCTTGGGCCTGCAAATGTAAAAAACCTAGTAACTCTGTCTCCATTTTGCATTTGACTCCTTTACTCTGAGTCACCTCAGATGGCAAGAACAACAGGTCTCATTGACAAACACTTTGGGATGAGTCAAAACTACCCCCAGGTAACTTTCTTATCACTTCAGATGACCAATCCTGAGACAATGATCAACCAGACACAATTTGATCAAGACTGGTTACTACGCATATTTCTGGTTCCCCCCTCTCCCAACCCTTGTCTATACTATCTGAAAGTTCTTGTCTGTAACCCCAAAGAAAGGACTAGAAATGCTGGTCCCCTTTGTCTTCCCAGGATGGTCATACCTATTAAAGTTACTTTTCTGCTTTCCACATTACTTTTTTTTTTTAACTGAGTCTCCAGATAAATACCCATAAGTCATTGGAATGCAGAACATATTACTTGTGAGCAACCCAGCCTGTGTCCTTGTGCCCACATCCCTGACAGCAGCTTGCCAACTAGCTGATAGAAAAGCAACAAAACCACAAAATTACCACAAGAAATCCTGAGGAACCACTCCTTTAAAGAACATGCACATTGAAGCCTTTGGAGACCTAGAAATGACCCCAGCCTCATTATAAATAGTAAGACCCACATTCTTGGGTAGAAATTTAAGATGCTAATGAGACATGAAATGTAGAAAGTAGCATGATTAGAATATGCCAGGGCAATGTGCAAGGAAAACTGGCATGAAATTGCATAACCCCACCCTGACTCCATCTGCAAGCTACTCTCCCTCTGTAAATGTTAAAACCACAGGCCAAGATGAGGCTACTCACTCTCTGAGGATATAGATGAATTTATATGTGAATATATAAATAAAAGGTTAATATATATTAATAATTATATATATATATATATATATATATATATATATATGTTTTTTATAAAAATATTTTTATGGTTAGGGATCCTGTTAGAATAAAGACTAATTTTAGGAGTAGAGTTAGGGTATGAACATATATATACATACATAAGATTATATATATGTGTGTGAAAATATATATGAAGACCTATTCATATATATTAATTTATATATTCATACCCTAGCTCTAAACCTAACTGTAACCATACATTTAGCACTTAACCTATCTGTGTATAAAACCATATATATTTATATATGTATCTGTTTATATGTATATTTACATGAATATTCATGTATATTTTGACACATGTATTTATGTATTCACATATAAATTCATGTATATATTCATATAAATTTATTTATATATTCATACCCCATCTTTAAACCAAACTGTAATCACATAACTACCACTAAACCTAACCATATATAAAACTGTATTTACTTATATAGGATTCCATATATATTTTCACAGAGTTATTCATTTATATATTCATACCCTATTTCTCAACCAAACTGTAACCATACACCTAATATATAACATGTATATATATGAAATCATATATATTTATATAGGTTTCATGTACATTTCCACATATATATTTGTCTAAGTATTCTTATATATGAATATAAATGTTCATATCCTAACCCTAATCCTAAACCTACACTGAATTTAGTTCTAACCCTGACACTATTCCTAATTATAAAACTATTTTTATTTAAAAATACATATGCAAAATATATTTATACAAATATAAAAATATCATATATATATGCTTATATGAATATTGAAATGTATTTATATATATTCACATAAAAATTCACATATATTTGTATATATTCATTTATATATCCATACCCTATCTTTAAAACAAACTGTAATCATATAACTAAACTGAAACCTATCCTTATATAAAATAGTATATATGTATACAGGTTTTCATATATATTTAAACATATATTCCTATATATATTCTTATGTACGGATATATATGTTCATACTCTAATTCTAACCCTAACTCTAACTCTACCCCTAAACCTAGTCCCAACCTAACACTACCAACAATAAAAGTATTTCTATATAAAACCATATATATTCATATGAATATTCATATTTTATATATTCATATATTTAAGTACCTATTCATATAAATATGTTTATATATATTTATTATATACTCAAACCCTATCTCTGAACTAAATGGTAACTATAACCTAACATTTAACTTATCTGTATATAAAACCAAATATATTTATATGTTTTCATATATATTTTTACATATATTCTTATATATATTCATACATATGTATGTATATATTCATACCCTAATCCTAACCCTAACACTAGTACTAATACTAACATTACCCAACCCTAAAAATATTTTTATATAAAACCATATATATTTATGTGAAAATTCCTATAAAATTTGACATACATATTTATATATTTAAA